GCTCCGCCACTGTCTTGGCGTAGCAGTACCAGTTCTTGGTGTTCTTGCAGTAGTCGAGGTCGCTCCAGCACGTCTCGTCTACCTCGGCGCCGGGGCCGTGGCGAGGGTCCATGTACACCGTGCCGATCGACGACGTGAACACCACGTGCCGGACGCTGCCGACGTCCGCAGCGGCATTGGTCACGTTCTTGGCCCCGTTCACCGCGCCGGCTCCATCATTTTCTCCTGCGTGCATGCATTTAGTTTCCTCGATCATCAAAAAGAGACTTACTACTAGTGAAATATTACCAGGTCGTCGGTGACCGGGGAGGCGGCATGGAAGACGCCCTGACAGCCTTGGAACGCCGCGGCGAGACTCTTCTTGTCCAGCAGGTCTGCGCGCACTAGGGTCAGCCGCTCCGCCGCTCCGTCTAGCGCCCTGAGGTGCGCGTTCTTTGCGTCATCATCTGGGAAGCGCGACCAACAGATATTATATATATATATATATATATATATATATATATATATATATATATATATATATATATATATATATATATATATATATATATATATATATGCAGAGGCTATTCTGTAGCTAGGTATAGAATTGCTTATTTTGTAGCCGGACCAAGTTACCGCACCGGACAGACCCATCCGTGCCAACCGGCGCAAGCGCGCGAGCATTTACCGGATCGGGAGTTACTGCTGGGTAGATGCCCGGCGTGATTTTGGATCTGGCGAGCTGCCGTGTGCATGCATGCAAGAAATATAGTGGAATGAGTGGTTACGAGAATACATGAATTACCATACAGAGAGCATACAAGTGAATTAGCGTATGCATGCACCGTGCAATAAACTATTGTATATGGACTATGGTAAATAGATAAGATATTTAGGTAGTTACCAGAATACCGTATGCAAAATATTCTTGTTACGAGAATACAACATACCTTAAAATAGTAAGGTTACGAGAATACTATTGTCCACGAAAAATAGTAAAGAATATATTCTAGTAAATAGGAATGGGTTACGAAAATACTCTACATGCATGCTATGGGCTAACTGAAGAGTAGTATACAAGTTGAACTAATGTAATTGTTCATGTGTTACGAGAATTTGAGCACAGTGACTAAACCAATTTTGTCATAAGCTGATTAAAATAATTTGAATGTCTCGGACAAAATTAGCATTAAGAAAAGATTTACCATAATTTCATGGACAAGTTACTATAATACTTCATATTTATGAAAATTCTGTTTACAACAATACTAATACTATTTACAAGAATTTGCACTAATAATATTTACGAGAATTGCTACTCAAGAGCGATTGGATGCGTGCTTCAATTTCACGAGAAAGAAACATGACGTCGTCTCACAGGATCTTGCCACCATAGAAGATAGAACCTCTGGCCGCCGCCGCCTACATCAGTCATCAGAGCGCTACTGCTTGAGCCCGATATCAGGGAGTCACCGGTGAAGGTGCGGACGGGCTTGTCAACGAAGCAGCGCCGCCGGAACAAAAGGACAGGCGTGGCTGTTGGGTACACCCCGCCGAGACCTGCCGCCGATGAGGACCCACCGCCGCCACTAGGCTGTACACCATCGGTTGCTGCTAGATGTGCAGAACTGCAGGCGACATCCCGAGGTGTGCTTGGCGCACGCCATCGCACTCGCCTCCCGGCCGCACCACCAGGGGCCGCCATCTCCACTGGACGTGCCGCGCCATCACCAGGGCGTGCCATGCGCGCGAGTTGAGGGTGCGCTGCAACCGCCACCACCAGGGCGTGCCATGCGCGGCGAGTCGAGGGTGCGGTGCCACTGCTGGGGCGCGTCGTGCACGCGGATCGAGGATGCGCCGCCACCGCCGGAGCGCGTCGTGCGGCGGCTGCCGAAGCGCGTCATTCGCACGGCAGGGGAGAGAAGTTCGTGCTCGACGGCAACCACCGCACCTCCCCTACTCCTTGTGCTTGAGGCGGAGCCTGGTGTACCGGTTGATCGGCTGCCGCTGCGCCAGCGCCTGCCGCAGGAACGCACCGCTGCCGCCCACCTCCTGCCCTCGTCGCTCCCACAGCGCACTGCCCCAGCGTCCCCGTTGCACGGCGCCCGCAGCGCCCCGAGGTCCGTCGGCCCGGCGCCGGCGGAGGCCAGCGTCGCTGACGACGCAGAAAAGTAGAGGAGGCAGGCCGCGAGGGCCACGATTTGCGATGGTGCGGACGTATCTGAACAGGACCCAATCTAGACTTTTCTCCGGAGAGATGGAAATAAGCGTAATTTTTGGGTTAATTAATGGACTAGTATTTATTGTCTTTACTGATGCCGTCTTTACTAGTGCGGTGGGTGAATGGACGGAGCTGGGTGACGCTCGGGCTTGAGATCTGACTCGGATACAGAATACGTTATATATATATATATATATATATATATATATATATATATATATATATATATATATATATATATATATATATATATATATATATGTGTGTGTGTGTGTGTGTGAATATTATTGGTAACAACCATGCATGCATGCTGATATGGCCGTGGCAGGTAGCAGTTGTTTGTTTGTGGAATCTAAGGTGACAAGAACAAATTGGTGAAGGAGCAAATATAATCACTAGCTAGCTACTACAGCTAGGCTCTATAGAGGCGCCTGACCCAGTCGTCTCTAATTTTCTAGTAGATACGGTTCGGTTTGGACCAATTTGTAGAGACGGCTAAAATGCTCAAATCTATGTATAGTAATGAATGGGGCGTATATATATTGTTGCTCTCTATCAATGCAATTTTAGCAGAGACCACCTGGGTTGCGGACAGTGCCGCGCACGATGTAGCCTTTCTCAAGGAGGAGCTTCACAAGCCAGGATGCTATGAACCCGCTGGCGCCGGTGACGCAGACGGTGGTTTGGCCATGGCCGGATCCACAGTTGGTGATGCTGCTGTGCAAACCCATGTTTTGCGGTTTGCAGGACTAATGTGTAGGTATGTATCGAATGTTGGAAGAAATGGTGCCCTTGGGGTGCTATATATATATTTAGGCCGCTCTTCCCTGGAAATGCATGGTTGGTAGGTGATGGTTGCACTATAACACAACATACTTTTGCCAACACTTTCTATTGTAGACAAATGGCATCTTTGCCGACAGATAACCTCTCACGAAAAGTTTTGCCGACAATTTAGAAACAGTCGCGCTAGAAGCCATCGGCGAAACTTTTGCCGACAGTTAACAGAATCCCGACACTTTATGTGTAGGCAAACGGTCTACCTACGCCGATAGTTGAAATCTTTGCCGACAGTTAACCCTTTGCCGACAGTTAAGACCTACGGCGACAGTTAAGACCTTTCCCGACAGTTTGTATGTTGGCGAAACCATTTCCAAGCATTTTATGAAACATGCCCTCGTCAGCAAGTAAACCGTTGGCAAAATTATATAGCAAATATAGATATCAATTCAATTTGAATGATTTGACAAATCCACTCTTGTTCATAGAGAAGGCATCACATTGAGCAAATTCACTTGATTTTATAGAAATAATATATTAAATATTCCATACATAGAGAAGTCAAAGTGATGATCATAATACACAGAGCCATACATATACAAGTCCAGGATATAGATGAGCCACTAGAAGACATATATAGACATATACTACAAGTCTTGTGCTAACTGATCATTAGCAGCTCTAAACTTAAAATCAGCCCAGCAGTATGTTCATTAAAATAAAAGCATTATTATAGAACATTGACACTTGCTATATCAAATGATACCAACAGTATCTTTAGCTTTAGCTTTTCAGAGCATATCAATTGCCTCCTTGTCCAGCTCCCGCCCCTGCTACTTGCATGAATGATTAGCTCATATTTTTGAGCCTGCATGTTCAACTCGTGCAGCATCTTGCATTAGCATTTAAGGAATGTATGTAACACCAGATGTCCTGCATAAACATGAGGAAAAAAATCATCACAGTACGTTGCATTAGAATGAAATCATCACAGGTGTTTTGGGCACTACTATACAAATGTCCACCAAAAAGTTAGCTACATGGATATAATAGATTTCATAACTGAAATTCCTACATAAAGCAAAATGCTAAGTTTAATGCATGATAGTGGACTGGACTGCCCAAACCTAGGCTCTCATATGTGCTTGTATTTTCTTTCAAAAACAAATATATCTCCAATTGTTCAACAATGATGTGATACTAGTGTCATCTGCCCATTTAATTTCTGAAAAAAATTGGATGTAACAGGTGTAGATGCTTATTATGATGAATTGGTATGTGTTTCTTATGATGTTGCCTTATAACAAGCTAATATTGTTCACTTCTTTGCCAATTGCAAGGGCAAAAGACAGCAGAAAACATCCCATGTCCATCTGGTTCAGCAAAAACAAGTCCACATGACCACATGTATGTCATTGATGATGTGTGCCTTCAGAGGAATGAAGTAGAGGACTGCAATCAATGTATGTGCAGGAAATTTTAACAAGAAAATAATGGGTTTTTTTCTATGGATTGCACAAATCTAAGCCTTTTGATTGAACTCAGCTATATGTGCAAATGCTTTTCAGAAAGAAAGAAAGAAACAATAATAGCTTGTCAGTGCTAGCTAACCATTATGAAACCTAATAGTGCATTGATGGTATTAAGGACACTTATGCTCAATTATCTCACAGATTCAAGTATAATTTTGTAGATAGCAAATTTTTCTAATGACAACTTTTATCTAAAGGAACTCTGGTGCCTGCAAAAGCAAAGAGCCATAAAGTTGCAATTGCATTTGGTGCTACAACTGGCTTCATCAGCCTCGTTTTCCTTGCCGTTGGTTTGCTATTCTGGTGGAGGTGTAGGCGAAACCGGAAGACTCTTTTCAACATTGATGGTAAGTAAAATGCTTAAGTTACTAATCAATTCATGAACTAAGTACCTTGATCGTGAATCTTGATGGTCAGTGTTTGATCTTCATCTTACTGTATTGGCTACTGCAGACCAACACATAGAGAACGTCAACCTCGGAAATATGAAGCGGTTTCAATTCAGAGAGCTCCAGGCTGCAACAGAAAACTTCAGCAGCAAGAACATATTAGGAAAAGGCGGGTTTGGTATCGTTTACCGGGGGCAGCTCCCAGATGGAAGTCTTGTAGCCGTCAAGAGGCTCAAAGATGGTAATGCTGCAGGCGGGGAAGCACAGTTTCAGACTGAAGTCGAGATGATCAGCTTGGCAGTGCACAGGAACCTCCTGAGACTCTATGGATTCTGCATGACCGCCAGTGAGAGGCTACTGGTCTATCCATACATGTCGAATGGGAGTGTCGCATTGCGCCTGAAAGGTAAGCAGTTTTTCAAGTTATGAATGCACTAGTCACCAGTGTCACGCGCCTGTCTTTGTTGAAGATTAAATTTCCTTAAGTAAATGTATATGGAATTAAACATGACTGCTTGATTTTATTCCCAAACAATGTGACTGCCTGATATAATTGAAGGCAGAACCTACCCAAGCTGAGAAGCAGAACAAAAGAAGATTTGAAATTTGATTTTTTCGTTCTGTTTCCATTTCCTCTCCTTTGGGCAGAATATTAGAACAAAGAATATGATTCCCTTATAACCAAAACATTAACTTTTTTTTCACCAACTTAAACTACAGGGAAGCCACCACTGGACTGGATCACCAGAAAGAGGATAGCACTTGGTGCAGCACGAGGTCTACTGTACCTGCACAAGCAGTGTGATCCCAAGATCATCCACAGAGACGTTAAGGCAGCAAACATACTGCTAGATGACTGTTGCGAAGCAATTGTCGGGGACTTTGGGCTTGCAAAGCTCCTAGACCACCGTGAATCACATGTCACCACAGCTGTGCAGGGAAGTCATCAAATCAGAAGGGAGCCATGTTAGACTGGGTAAGTTAATGCAATATCAGTTTAATATGGTCTACATAACTTGTTCTTTTATTCTTTGACCTGCCAATGCCCCATTCTAGTTTCTGACCCTTGGGAGGAATTCCAATTATATAGACAAGCTAGTTAGAGGTTTACTAGCTACTCCCAAAGGGACATTGATGCTGTTCAGGGAGTAGTTTACTAGCAAGTAAACTAATAAATAATAAGTACCCTCCCAAAGTTAGGAATTCCCCTTAATAGAGAAGGCATGGCATATGATCATACCTGAGCTAACGGACATTGATGCTGTTCAGGTGAAGAAGATGCACCAAGAGAAGCAGCTGGACATACTTGTCGACAAGGGCCTGGGGAGCAAATATGACCGCATTGAGCTGGAGGAGATGGTGCAAGTGGCACTGCTATGTACTCAGTTCCTCCCTGGTCACAGGCCCAAAATGTCAGAGGTGGTCAGGATGCTGGAAGGCGATGGGCTTGCAGAGACGGTCTGAGGCAAGAAGTATTCAGCAGTTGTTTCCCAGTAGAATATGTAAATACTACAAAGTGAAGCAACTGATGCTGCATCCTGTCAGAAATCGAAGCAGATCTCAATCAGCTGAACTGTACAAAGATTAAAAAAAGAGCACAACCTAGTCTAGGCATGGTACATTACTACATCTATAGGTTATGTAACTGTTGGTAGAATAAGACCATAGAGCAATATTTCCAATTTCTAATGTAATATTTTTTTGTATTTTTTTCTTTATATTCTATTACTCTAGTTATAATTTGTAAAAAGCAAAAACTTTTCCCATTGGAATGCAGAGGCTTGGAAGTGTCCATGTTGTCTGTGCATTGGTCAACTCTCCCAGATTGTTGTTGAAACTCAACTTCTGTCCTACATCTATACAAATACAAAATCTTCACCAGAAAATAGCAAATATTTTGCGTGGATATCTGACTCCATGTAACAGAACATTGTATGATAGCAATAAAGGAAGAGGCACACATCAAATCGTTTATACTCTCACCTAAACCACAGGTCTTTGACAGGCTAAGATTGAAGATCAACCATATTTTCTGACCGCTAAGTGATCTCCAACGTAAAGTGGGTCATTCTCCTGCACCACATCTGGTAAGAAGCAAGCAACATTAGGGGCACAATTGAATTACACAATATAATGGAAGTGGAAGGGTGGAAAACAGTCTCACCATTTATCCTTTTCCTTTTGTTGCGCCCTCTCATCCCCACTTCTACTCTGAGAGAGTAGTTGTGCTAGCCAACACCGCCCAATCACCTGCACAAAGGGGAAAAGGTGGAGGGAGAGAGGATCTGGGGGAGGAGTTAGGAGACCGAGGAGGAGAGGAAGAGGGTGAGGTACCGCCAGATTCAGCGGGCGAGGTAAGGCACCACCGCCGCCGGCGATGACGAGGCCATGCACAGGCTTGGTCGGCCGGCCTACGCCGGTCGTGGCTCGCGATGCATCCGGCGTCATTGAGATGAGGCAGCTAGGGTTTCGTCGACCACAGTAGCACAGGCGGATCGGTGGAAGGAGGCAGCGCCGGGTGGCACCCACGCCGGCAGCCACCGGCGGGCCCCAGGTGCGTCGCCGAGGAGGGGGCGCTGTCGGCCGTGGCCGGGGCGGCCACCATCCGCACCGGCGCAACACCCGGCGGGGGGCGCCGTCGGCCCGCGCGGCGACGAGGCGTGAGGAGGGCGTGGAGGAGGAGGAGGAGAGCAGCCGCCGCCGTGTCGAGGGCTGGGGCTGCCGAGGTGCGGTGGCGCCGCTGTGGCCGCGTCGGGAGAGCTGGGGAGGGAGAGAGAGCGCTACGGAAAGGAAGAGCCGGAAAGAGGGAGGGAGAGAGAGAGAGAGAGGGGGGGGGGAGGAGATATTTTTACCCAGCGCGGGTACTCCTTGACCGACACTTGCACAGTTGCCCTGTATAGGCTACGCCAACACTTTCTAAGTCTTCTAATTTTTGCCGACACTTTTTCTACCAGCAGAGAAACGCCAACAGATAATTTGTAGTCTTACAGTCTTATTGCCGACATATGATTAGACATTAAAACGATATACAATTGCCAACACATAATATGTCGTCCAAACCTGCCTTTTGCCAACACATAAGTGTAGGTAAATGTGTGTCATGGTGTAGTGTTGGTGTGGGAGCTTCATATGATGGCCTGCTATGTTGTTCATGCATGCAAGAATATCTGCCTCTTGCTCTCGACCTCCCAAAGATCTCGCTAGCTAGTAGGCAATATACGTAGCATATGCGTGTTTCATGTACGATGTATGATACGCATCGGTACGGTGGGTAGTAATAAGAGATGTCAGATATGCGAGTTTGTCGTTTAGAGATTAGCTAGCTAGGTAGTGGTTGCAATAAACTTGCATCTCTTGGTCGGCTCACACGAGTTGTGTTTTTTATATATAATCACACGAGTAGCAAAGAAACTAGTGATGATGGGACCTGATTTCGTCTCCTTCTCATGGGGCAGGGGCGATATCGATGTTGGGCCGTGGGGGACATAATTTTCGCACGCCACTTATATCTTACTATTACTAATTAGAAACCCTAACGGAGACACCACGTTAATTCTTACCAGACACGCTAGGAAAAAAATCCTAAAAATTCTCACAATAATCAGAAACATCCGGCTTTTGATTTGATAGACTCTAATCATCATCACCGATATTAGCCATTGGATCTATTGTAGTTTATTAAAAAAATTACCCACCATTGTCATTATGAAAAAAAAACATAAAGTAACCCCATAATTTTGCATGTAAATTAACCACCTCTGCCAATACAAAAGATAATTCAAAATAACCGTATATATCTATATATAAATTACCCACATTTGCTATTATGAAAAATAATTCAAAATAACCCCTTAAATTTGCATATAAATTACCCACCTTAGCCATTATGAAACATAGTTAAGAATAACCCCTAACATTGTTACATTACTCAGCTTTGTCATTATGAAAGATAATTTAAAATGATCATCTAACTTTGTATCCAAATTGCAAATGTACATCTACCATTATGAAATATAATTTAATATACCTCCTAATGATTTTATAAATTATCCATCTCTATCATTATGAAAGATTATGCAAAGTAATATTCTAAGTTTGCATTTAACCTATCCATATATGTCATTGTGAAAGATAATATAAGGTATTACCTTTATATTTGTATGTACCTTAGGTATTATAAAAAAAAAGAAAAAATCTCTGAAATTGTCGATGTTTCATTACCGATAGCCTACCACCGGGGTACCCGGGACAGTTTGTTCGGGCTTCAGCGTGTGCAGAACTCGACGGTAAACGCAAGAGACAGTCGATTTATCCTAGTCCGGGCCCTCGACCGTGATCGAGTAATAGCCCTATGTCCAGTCGGCGTTAGCCTTTGTGTTGGATTGATTGTCCAGTGTTGTCTCTAGGAACCCCGCCCTCCTTTATATAGTCAGAAGGCCAGAGTCCTAGTCGGTTTACAATGAGAGTTCCTAGTAGGATTACAGAATAATACTACTACTGAGATTACATGGAAAGAATCCTAGTTAGACTAGATCTTCTCCCTTCCTTGAGGGGTATCCCGTGGATCCCACATCGACAAGCCCCCGAGCACTTCATGGTTGAGCTCTGGAAGCCTCGTCTTGTTCCTTCAGGTCTTGCCGAGTAGGAACAAGCGTCGTCCAAGTGCTTTCTTGAGCGAAACCGTGTAGCGCTTCGTGAGATCTTCGGGTGGTGTGTACTTTTTTTGAAGAAAAAGTACTCCCATCTGTCTATGACACGTGTCTATGACATGTCTATGACACGTGTTTCATTAAGACGAAGGAGAATAGTTTTACAAGAAGGGGCGGTAATCAACAATTAGCAAATCCTTCTCCCAGCGCTACAACCATTAGGATTGTATTACATGAACATTTTTTGCGACGGTCGACAATGGAGGCTTCGCTTTCATAAGCCCTGCCAAAGCGACTGAATCTGTGTGTGCCCCGCCGTCACCCATTCCTGCGCCTCCTCAATGATCGTATGGAGCATCTGTGTGTGCATGGATCTTTGCTCTCGGAACGTCCTACCATTCCGTTCCTTCCATAATATCCATCCAATCAGCAGGACTAGATTGTCGAAGCCTCACCTGCGTTCCTTCGGAATTAGCTTCCTCGAAAGCTCTCCTAGGCAGGACCCTATAAGGTATTCATGGACCTTAAGGTGGGTCCCACATCTACTAAAAGGTTTGGTATTGTGTATAAGATCATCATGTGCTATAACATGGGGTTTCACTTGTTTCCTCGGCGACTCCAATTTGACACCGGGTTCTCTCTATTTGAATTATTTCATTGCCTATTATTAAGGCATGATCTTAAACTTGAGACCAGACTTTTGTTTCTTATTTCTAGGAGACCTAGCGTTGTAAGTAATATACTAGTATTGTCGACACGGAAATTTGGTCACCGTACAGGACACACAACATCTGCTTAACTCAAACGCAGGACAAGTTGGTTTCAAAGTCTAAAGCGTGCCAGTCAATTTGACCTTACAATTGAGAATGAGAGAAAAATAATCAGTAATTTAAAGCGGAACACATCAGTGTTGCTCCAGACAGTTCTTAATATGTGGCTAGATAGCCGATCAGATGAGACTATCGACTAGAGAGGCGATATGTAGCAATAAAGTAAATATAATAGGCTAAACTGATTCATGGTTGATCTAAAGCACTGAGCTGATATGTGTAATGAAAAGAACATAGCATGAAAGGCGATTACTTACTTTAACATAAACAAAATCATGAATCATTTAGATCTAGCTTAGTATCATTACCAATCAGTTCAAGGATGATGCAGCGTCGATGAGGACAATAAAATAAAGCTATTTGATTCATAAATCCGATCATGTTAAAACAGACTTTCGCAAACTGCTATAGAGTGAAAGCACAAGCTATCCGCTATCCAGCCGATGCGGAAGAAACAGCATAAAACGTTGAAGTGCAGGCAATCGACTATTTAGCCGATGCGATATGGTTTATGTATATCATGCCTTCAATCAACTATTTAATACAAATAAATCTACTAAACTAGCCAGATACAATCTATTACCACTACCAATCTATTACCACTACCAATCAGGTCAAAGATGATGCAGCATTGGTAAGGATATCAAATTAAAGCTAAACAAGCCAGTAGATTTACTCGTAGTTCAACATAATCATGAAAACACGTTATACACGTGTAGACACAGGCAATCAGCTAAATAGTCGATGCAGACGTGATGAATGAATAAAGTCATATTCTGCAATAAATAAACACATCGATTGAATAATATTTAATCTACGATTGCTATCTATCCGGTCGATACGATGCAGCGTAGATAGTGACTAGTAAATCAGACTTTATTAACCAATGAAATTTATCTATAGCAAGGTAGGACTTTGAACACTAAGCACGCTTGATCAAGATTAAGACAAATTAGTCGATAGAGCAAGATCTAACGTCAAAGATAGAATTTAACCGCGAAATAAAGATAGACGATAGATTAATATGATAAATTGGTGATATTGACAAATCTAGTAAATACTAAACTTAACAAGATCGACAACTTTGATTAATACCAAATCTAGCAATGAGGTTGAAACGATGCAGCCTTGCTAAACAAGATAAAAATAGATAACTAACTTATACCAATGCGTGTAACGAGGTCGAAACGATGCAGCCTTACAAGTAAAGATACAAGTCGTGACGGAAGATCGATGCAGCCCTGCTCGTTGAAGAACTTAGCCAAGATCTATCTTACTCCTACTCTAAGGGGTGGCGTGAAAGCCGAAAAGTAATTGACCGGGTTTTGTGATTGATTGACCGGTGTCTATTACAATAGCCGGGCTACGGTATACTATTTATACTCAAAGCCTAAACATGAGTCCTGATCGAATAAGACTTTTACAAACTTGGAATAAAAGAAAACGTGCTAGATTAAGATAACTTGGACACGTCTCTTGCCTTAATTACCGCCACCTTTCCTGTCGGCAGAATCCAAGTCTGGTTTGATGATGACATCATGGCCGTTTAGCCGATTTCGACAGCGATCCAGGCTAGCCGATTCCGTAGACATCTCGGGCTCCCGTGCTTCAATTCCAAAGTCTGGCGTAAACAAGTATAGGGCAACTTCTAAATTTTGCCACCTGGACTTGGCCTCCTTTTGTACACAGTACGGGTGCTCGACAGCTCGAGAGATGGTGCTAGGTAATTACCATGTAGTAGCAAGATAGCATCTTTCTTCTGATGATTATAGACTCCCGTAGATGGATGCTGACGAATTAGAAATGCCACGAGATCTAAAGTGATTTGGAAGAAAATTCTGCCCTCGTTTAGTTCGCGAAATTTGGATTTTAAGGCTACTGTAGCATATTCGTTTTTATTTGGCAAATAGTGTTCAAACATGGACTAATTAGGCTCAAAACGTTCGTCTCGTAATTTTCCACCAAACTGTGCAATTAGTTTTTCTTTTCGTTTACATTTAATGCTCCATGCACGGACCGCAAACATTCGATATGGCAGGTACTGTAACAACTTTTTAGAAGTTGAGGTGGAACTTGTTGAACAAGGCGTCTGTGTCCGAACAGTCAGCGCGCCGCGTCCCGGTGAGAAGGTTCCAGTGTTACCAATTATACCATCCCGTGGGTGGCCGGCCGGGCCATCAGCCAGCCTATCCGATATTTTTATCTGTCCAGCTTCGACGCACTTGCTCAGTCACACCGTTGACAGTCAGTCCCCTCTTCTCGCACGCCAAATTCCAAACAGAGCAACCAGCCTCCGAACACGACGAGGACGACGACGACGACGTTGGCCGGAGCTACTGTTTCCGCTGCCGCCCAAGGTAACTAAATTAACCGTCGATCTGTGCCGCGCCTCGTAGTGACTGATAACTGCTTGTCCCCTTTTCGTTGTCAGGTGTTGCGAAAGGAACAAGAATGGAGCCAGGAACTCCCTCGGAGCCCGAGCCGACGCCGTCCGACGGCAGCAGGGACTGGTCCGAGCTGCCCCTGGACGCCCTGGTGCTGGTGTTCGCGAGGCTTGGCCCCGTGGAGATCCTCATGGGGTCCGGCCTCGTGTGCCACTCATGGCTCCAGGCGGCCAAGGAGCCTTCGCTGTGGGCATCCCTGGACATGTCCAACCACAGGGCCATCGAAGAGATGCACGCCGGCGTCCTGCGCGAAATGGCCAGGGTCGCCGTGGACCGCTCCAAGGGCCGGCTGGAGGCCTTCTCGGGGAAGTACTTCGTCACCGACGAGCTTCTCAAGCACATCTCGGCCAGGTCGTCGTCAGCATCTCTCAGGAGCCTGAGCCTCGTATCCTGCAACGAGGTCACCAACAAGGGCTTCACCGAGCTGGTGACTCACGCGCCGCGGCTCGAGGACCTGTCGCTGGAGCTGTGCCCGAACGTGGGCGGCCGCCACGTGTTCGAGTCCGCCGGCAGGGCGTGCCCGCGGCTGAGGCGCTTCAGCCTGCGCAGGGAGTGCTTCCGGTTCTCCCTCAACTACTCCCGGCGCACCGCGGAGGCGCTCGGGATTGCGGCGGCGATGCCCGGGCTGCGCAGCCTCACCCTCGTCAGCTGCAACATCAACAACGACGAGCTGGCGGCCGTCGTCGAGGGGTGCCCGCGCCTGGAGACGCTCTGCCTGAGGGATTGCTACAAGGTCATCGCTGATGGCTCACTCCGGGCCAAGTGTGCCGGCATCAGGACGCTGACGCTTCCCGATCGTGTTTGACTTGACGAGTCCGGCTCAAGACAGCAGTAATTTCCACAACCACATGGCCTGGGCCCCGGGCTGTATGTTATCAGGAAATTCCACAGGTTACCCTGCGGTTCGGTTAGTATAAAGTCATAATAAAACTAGGGGCTCATCGTCCCAAGTACAATATGTCTTGTTTGCATAGCTCGCCTTGACAACTCATGCGCTACACAATTAGCATCTCTACTGCAGTGCTCAATAGAAATTTCCTGAAACCCGCTCCATATAATAATGCATTCGTCATAGATGGCAGCCGCCGAGTTAGCCGAGAATCCTCCCTCCTTCATAGTTTCTACCACCTCCATACAGTCTGCCTAAATGACAAGTCTATTACCTCCAATGTGTTGTGCCAGCAAAAGACCTTTTTCCTTTAGTGCATATGCTTCAGCCATAGGTGCATCAATTACATCAGGAACAAAGCTATGCGCGGCTGCAATCACCCCCCTGAGTGATCTCGAATTACAACTCATGTGCTTCCACACCCCACATCATCATCAAACGATGCATCCACATTAACCATGATCATTCCTTCTAGAGTGATCTTCCTTTCTCATAGACATTTTCTCTAGTTAGGGCAGAACATAGAGCTGACTCTCTGAACATATTCTCCATGAACATACTCCCACCAGATGTACCAGCCCCCAGTCAGAATGAGTTCAGGCAAGCCAACATCCATAGCTCGAACTTGGTCGTCCCTTCGGATTACCTCCTCCAAGACTATCGCACCAGACCGATCCACCGCTAGTAGCCGAACGAGCGACTCCCAGATGCCCAGCGCCCTCCACACTTCCTTTGCTCTATCGCACTCAAAGATGATGTGCTTAATGTTCTCTGCTCCATTCAAACATATAGGACAGCCTCCAGAGTTTCCAATATGGCTGTTTGCAAGAATTGCCCACCCTAGAATTCATCCATGGAGGGCTCGCCATCCGAAAATTTTAATATTTTTGGAAACCTGCAACTTCCACAATTTCTTCCACAAGTGACTTTTTCATGCACCGCTAGCTTGCATAACATGATGTCTTCGCCCATATATGTCTTCCCATTGGCGGTGATATGCTGAGCGGACTGTGAATAATACGTTTCTATTATAATGCCAGGCCACATAATCTTCCCTTCCATGAGTGATAGGAATTTGAAGTATCCTAACTACATCAACTGCCCAAAAAATTGACTTCACCAAATCCACATCCCATGTTGCATTGACTGGATTTATGAGTTCATCAACAGTTCTAATAATATTATTACCTCTCGGCGTTAAAATCTTCAAATTATGACTCCCAGGAATCCAATGATCATCTCAAATATTTATTTGTGTACCATTACCCACTCTCCAGATATAACCTTTCTTAAAGCATTGAAGTCCCGCCATCACACTCTGCCATGCATAGGAGCTACCACTCTTCACCCGTGCATTGAGCAGCCTGCCATCAGGATAATATCTTGCTCTAAGTACTCTTGCACATAAAGAGTCCGGGGCACTAAGCAATCTCCACACCTGCTTTGCCAACATTGCTAGATTAAAGGAGTGAAGATCCAGGAAGCCCATACCTCCTCTACATTTTCGACATGCATAATTTCTACCACTCCTGCCAATGAATCCTTCTATGTTCACTCTCATCACCCCACCAATATTTGAGAGATGGCCGTCGTTATTCCTTTGCAAAAAAATTCAGAATTTTGAAGACCATCATCGCATATACCGGTACAGCTTGAGCAGTGGACTTTATCAATATCTCTTTTCCTCCCATGCTTAGCAATTTCTCCTTCCACCCATTAATTCTAGATATGACTCTGTCAATCAAATGCCGAAAGCAATCACTCCTGTCCGCCCCCACTAACGTTGGTAATCCCAGGTATTTATCATTCAGTGTTTCTGTCATGATATTAAGAGCTTCACACACCTCCAGCTTAGCATCAACATCTGTATTACTTGAGAAAAATATGCTAGACTTTGCTTCACTAACCTTCAGCCCCGAGCTAGCACAATAGCGTGTCAATATGTCTGCTAGGCAGTTCGCATTCTTCTTGTCTGCCTGCATGCGAATGAGTGAATCATATGCAAACAAGAGATGTGACACCATAGGAGCATCCCTGCACACCTTCACTCCCTCCAAATCTCCTCTCTCCTCGGCACCCCTTATCATACAAGATAGGCTCTCAGGAACAAATAGAAAGAGATACGGAGACAAAGGGTCTCCCTGTCTCAGTCCCCTTGTAGGTGTAAATATATCAGTCTCCGTAGAATTGAATCTAACATTACAGCAGACTGAGGTCACACAGGCCATAATTAGTTTAATCCATCTTTGATCAAATCCCAATTTCGCCATGATTTTCTCCAGGAACACCCACTCCACCCTATCATAAGCTTTATTCATGTCTAGCTTCACCGCACAAAGGCCCTTCTTCCCCTTCTTCTTTTTTAAAGTATGGATACATTCATAAGCAAGCAAAATGTTATCCATTATTAATCTACCCAGGACAAAAGCACTTTGGTGGTCACTGATTATCTCCGGAAGAATACCTTTCATTCTATTTGACAACATCTTCGAAATCACCTTATAAACCACATTGCATAAAGAAATAGGGTGAAATTGAGCTACCTTGTCAGGGTTTTCGACCTTTGGAATCATGACAACAGTAGTATCATTCCACCCGCTTAGTATAGTAGTACTGTTCACCACCTCCCAACACCTCCTGTACCATATCATCTCCCAACATGTTCCAAAAACGCTTAAAGAAAATAGCATGAAGACCATCGGGTCCAGGGGCTTCAAGATCCCCAATGCTAAATAAAGCTTTCTGGACTTCTTTTCTTGAAAAAGGGGCATTGAGAAGCAAATTCATTGTTGGTGTACTTTATATAGTACTAGCAAATATGCCCGTGTGTTGCAACGGAGAGAAAAAAAGGTATCATAGAAATGTTACATATTTATGTTTTATTCTTTCCATAAAATATAAAGTTTATGATTTATTTTGATGAGCACGAAATATATAATATCAATTAGTATTGGCAATAATATGATAATATCCTATCTATATCCAAAAATAATACTTTGATAGAAACATTTCACACATTGTAAGGCACACCATAATTCTAGATTTGATAATATCTATACGTTGGTAGAGTTTAATATTGAGTTACAGCCAGCTTGTTCAAAATTTCTCATTATTTGATTAAATGGATAATTGGTTGATCTGGGTTCTAACAAAAATAAGTTTTGTTCATATTCAAAACTATATCAACAACTTAGCGGTAGGAATATTTACTTATTAATGAAAGATAAGTATATTTATTATTTGTTTTATATAGAAGGACAAATAAAATGGAAAAAGGCATGTGCAAAAATTGGCCACATATCTTTTTTCATGCATGCCCATACCATCCCAATGCATATGTGAGCATGTGACGACAATAACGACCACGGGGTACATGTTCGTCAAGGAAAATAGGCATGGAGAAATCAGAACTCGTTCCTGTTTGTAGGCCACGCCGACCCACGAGTCCCACGACAGCGACTCCATCTGTGATATAGTAAACAAAAGGGGCAGAGGCCAGAGTCATACTCTAAAAGATGAAAAAGGATACCGAAGAAAAATGAAATGAGAGTTGGAAAAGCCATGGAAACGAATAGAGCCAGACAAAAAACTTTCCATGATTTATTCAGATTTAATATTCACAGGCGAACTGATTTGACAAAAAAAGTCTTCTTGATTTCTATTTGATCCTTTTCTATTTGTTTATTAGTATTCGTATTCAATTTACTTCGATTGGGGAGATCTATTGGGATTAGGTGATTCCAAACTATCTAGGTTACCTAGGATATCTTTGGGGAGTACTTTTTTTTGTTAGTCTTTTTTCTTTTCTTTTTTCTTGACCGGTGGCTTATTTTTATTTAGACAAATACGTCACTTCTGGCTGGTGTTGGATTTGGGGTTCCGGTAATTTTTTTCTTGTGCACGCTCTATCTGTTTTTCCATTTTCTTATTAGCGCAGAGGAGTTTTTTTGTCTTTTTTTTCTTTCGTTGCTTTACATATTTGATTGGGTTTAGTTTTTTAATTTTCACGGTCTTCTTTTTCCGTATCATTGGTTCCGTCACTTCCGATTGGTTTTTAATCCGTCACTTTTTTTCCTTTTCCAATTTTCCAATGTAAATATTAAAAAACTTAGGAATCTAGACTTCCAGTTTGCTCAACACGTTTTGGAATCGAACTCCGTATCGCACTAGACAAGAACTATTCTAACTCGTTTGAACACGGGCTATATATATAAGTCTGGACGAAAGAAACTCTCAATTATCCGGTAGTTAGAAGGAGACGGACCAAAAAAATGGATGGACAAAAAAAATGGACCAAAATTTTGCCTCTTTATTATTAGATATAGATATAGATATAGATATAGATATAGATACAAGCTGTATACCTAGTGGTCAAAAGACTTTGTTTGCTAATAGAGCATTGCATTGTGTGCTGCGATTTTTTTAGATAATGGAACAAAGTTCCAATCTTTACCATCCATGGATAGTTGTGTGTGCTATAACTAGATAGTATTTGATGGTTGCCAAGGGAAAAAAAAAGGAAGTCGCCTTTCCTTAAGGCTTCAACGTGCTATGTCAGTTTTACATTTTATTAGTGTATCTCTACATAGTCTGTGTCCTCAATTTCTTTGTAATAATAGTAGTACAGTACGCTCGATTGAGCAGAAACAAACAGGCCCATAGTTGAGAACGAGCGCGTAGCTCAGTCGCTAGCGACTCCAGGTGTGAGCGCTGCTCGCCCGAGTTCCATCCATGGGATCGTAGGTCGGGTGTCTCACCGGGGCATGCCCCTAAAATAAATTCTCACAATGGTCAAAACGATGTGTCCTTAGTCTACGAAGCCCTTGGTGACTCTGTCGGTCTCACTAAGGACGTGATCTTCAAGCTACGTGTAGTTGTAGATCTTAATATGTGCGTAGAGTTGTGAGTGTGTGCGT